TAGGCGGATTGCGATCTTCGAGCTAACCATCTTCTCAGGTTTGCCCGGGAACATGTGAATTTCTTTTCACCGTTCGATCCAGAAGAACCTCTAGATTCAAAATATTATAAATTTTACTGAGCAATTAGGCTTAGTTGAGGGGATATAGGTATTTTATTAACGCTGTCTCAAGGCAATGCGGGTGCCACCTTCAAGGCTACCGTATTCTCAAGTTTACCCAGTAGCATATGAATATCTTTGCATCATTCGATCCAGCCGGATCTCTAAATTCAAAAAAACATATATTTTGACTTGAGGTAGTGTTAAGAAAATAGCTATATTTTCTCTTGTAAGACAATTTACTCAGTAAAGTATACGATGTTCTGAATCTAATGCCACTGTAGTTACGTATCAATAGTGATACATTGAGGTAGTATTATGAAAACAGCTTTTTTTTAAAATAGCTGTATAAAAAAATAATATTGTTACCAGCGCTGCCGAGCTTGAGATACGTTCGTTAAATCGGCTATATCTCCACAATTACATTGTCGGTTGATTGCGCTTACTTTCTTAGTACTAACCGATTTCCTGAAGGCATCTCACTTTCTCGGCAGCGCTGATTTCAGGTCACCATTTTCAAACTCACTGTTCTCAGATTTGCCGAGTAACGTGGTCGTTTTTTCGCACCATCTTTTATCAGATTCTCTGATTTCAGAAAATATTTGTGTTGTCGAGCGATTTTGTTTATTTCAAGAAGCGCTGATGATTTTCTGGAACCATATCACGAGTCTGAGCCGCTCAATTCCATACATTGTTTGCGCATTGATCAGTGCACACGAAGAATTAGCAATTTTAGGATCACCATTTTCAATGTAACGATACTCTCAAGTTTCTATGGCAACATGTCTCTTTGTCTCAACCATCAGATTCTCCAGTTTCGGAAAAATGTGTATGTTACGTGACGGTTTTGCTCGCTGTTCGGTTATTGTCGATCATTTTGATATATGCATGCAGGATACTGCCTATTATTCGTTGAGTAGTTTTGTTAAAGTTGTTGTTAAGTATTTTATTGCTAGAAACCGATTTAATCATCAGAGCGATTCGAATACTTACAGTGGGATTCGAATAGTTACATAAATGTGTCTCTTTCATTTTTGCCCAACATTTTCTACTTTGAGACCGCTCAAGTTTTTTTTTATAATAGACATATTTCAGAATATAATAGTTCGTATGATAGAGAATTTTATTCTCTACAAAACGGTTACAATTCTCTTGATCATTCTGCAATGAATGCCTCCAAAACGATCCTTTTCCGATATACCATCGGCATAAATTTTGCTTACCCAAGCGCTCAATCACACGTTGACCTGCGATTGCGCGTGCTTTTCGCTGACTCCGCCCCTGCGCTCAGACGCATTTGTATGGCGAAATGCGACGACGCCTTCCGTTTCATTAACCTGTTACCTCGGCGCTTTACAGTGTTATTATGGTGTGTGATATCACTGATTCAGTTTCTTGTACGTTTTCCGGAGCGATCTGTCTTTGAGCTTTTGCCTTTGTAATCTAACGTAAGTGCGGCTATCTTTCCAGTCGCAATGAATCATAACAAGCGATTTGACATTTTACGACCAACTTGTTTTCCTTTCAAATATAATTGTGCAATAATGCATTTCGTAATGCTAAGTATTTGCATGGTTAGCTGTCGATTTGGTTGTTCTTTCATTCACACTGATTCGTCAGCTGCTATTGATCTAGTTAATTGCTTGCTAATTTCTCAGTTGCGTACTGATAAGCACGAAGGAACCGGTGTGTGTTGTCGAATTGGATGATGTTGCTCAGTGTCTCGATATCAGCCAGTTCGATGCCTTGACGATTTTCAATTTTTTCTGAACGTTTCGACATAATTCGTAGCGTTTTTAGTGTTGCAACGAAAATGTCAGTGAATACTGCAAATACGCCGGATGGTCGTGGCGTTCTTATTTATAACGGTGAAATGTAAGTTATCACCGATTTTCGTCATATTTTTGGAACTTTGAAATTGCCAGTCTCGGGTCGGTCTATGCCAGGGTTTGCAGAGCGGACCAAAGCATGCTGGGTTGGACCAAGACTTGCCAGGTCAGACCAAGACCTGGCAAATTCTTGGTCAAGCCCGGTAAATCTTGGCTCTTCCTGACCGAGTAAGTGTCGATTGAGCATGGTAAATCTTGGTCCAATCTGGTGGCATGGTATTGACAATTAACATTCCCATGTTTTATACTTCCTTTGCTCTCTGCAATATCTTCGACGCGATTACTTCTGATTCAGCTTAACTAGTAAGATCTTTTGAATAGTTTCTGATTCACTGTCGTAAACTAATGTTGATATCGTCCCGGATCTTATTCGAGACGCTCCTGTTTATAGTTACAACATTGTCTTAAACACATTGAATTAAAAGTTGGCGTTCCATTCCTGTGCTATTCCGAACCTGTATGCTTCATTCTTGTAGGATTCTCCTGTATACGAAAGAGGTGGTGCTTCAGTTCTCGGATATACCCGATCCAATTTTCAAGGGCAAAAAAGTTGGCAATCTGTATCTCACAAGCCATAGAGTTAGTTTCTTCGATTGTTCTTCGTAAGAAAGAATGGTACATTAAAAGTTGTTCCGTTGACTTTACCAGGAAATGTCGTTCATGGCCAACGTTTGTTAATTTTGTTATGTTGAGCTATGATTTTTCGTTTTGGAACCGAAAGTAGTCATAAGTGATTGTGTATGAGATGCTTTCACATTATCGAAGTGAAGTGATCCACTAAACTGTGTACTTAGCACACAAAGTGTTTAGAAGAGTATTGAGTTGATTTATGAATTATCAGTTGATTGCAATAGTTCAGGCGATATTCATAAATCGTGACAACGATGCATTGGGTTCACTTTCGATGCCATTCCATTGTATGCGTACGGTCAAATTGGAGCAACCTGTGTTCGGTGCGAATTATCTGAAAGGTGTTTTACTTGCTCAGCCTGGAGGTAGTTTTCGAATTAACTATTCCATTACCGTTTCGTAATATCAGTAACATTCTTCTCAAACGAGTTCATCTGCGTTAGAGTATGTGCTGTTTTGAATCAGAATGCATGCGTTCTTGAGTTTTTATCACATACAGGTACTGATAAATTCAGTGTTCATTGAATACTTTCAGGAAATTGGAGTGGTGAGGTGACATGGAAATTATCTTTCAATAAGGGTGGTTGTATCGAGTTCGGGGAAGCGCTTTTGAAAGCGTCAGATATGGGTTGGTTTTGTTTGTTTAGTTGATGCGAACTGTTGATGAATTTATGAGGGAATGAGTGAAACCACTTAATGTATCGATCGATTGAACGTGATATGTCGAATGGTCATTTATAGCACAACGTTATCGGCCCTACGATGCGCCGCCAGCATATGCGCCACCGGCGGGTTCATTTTATTGTGCTCCACCAGCTTATTACATTCCACAAGGTGGTAATTATAACGGTTTTCAAGCTCCAACAAACGTCTTTCCTGATCAACCTCCAGGTTCATCTTGTGCCTCTTCTTATTTAAATCTACCCATCCACTTTGTTGAGAGTAAAGAAATAATCAAACAAACATGCGCACTTTGTTTACAGCTGGTAATGTGTTCATGTATGAAGCGCCACCACCCTATACGGGAATCGGACCGGATCGTGCACCTATGCCGGCAGGAGGTTTAATAAATGGAGCATCAGCCCCGCCCGCGCCATCGTCAGGTTATGTGGCACCACCAAGCTATGATCAAGCAAATGAACTCCCTAGAAAGGTTTGAATGTCTGACTGCTTCGTTTGTAATGCTCTCCTTCGGAATCACACTTTCACCCCAGCATTATCATCTGTGTGTCTTTTCTTTGATTGTCAAAATACTGGTTCAATCCAGATCGATCTAACTGCATATACTACAATTTGATGTCATCATCAACACTCGTATACATCTATTCAATGATTCTGATTATCATTATTATTACTGCAGACGCTATTTTCATCATCAGAAAATCTTTATTCTTTTTATTGAAATTGACAGTTTTAGAGTTCATTGCAGAGCATTTTTTATGTTCTTTAAATGTTATATGATGTGATATTTGGAACTAGTTGATCACCTTTTTTAGTTTCTCGTAAGCTTCATTCAATTTTCTGAATTGTACATAATCAAACTCAGGCTTACTGGTTGTTATGTTCCTGTAATATTTATTCACTGCTTCATTCCTTTGTACGAATTTTCCGGCTCTAAATGCTACGAAATTCCTTTTTTATCATTGTTCTTCATTTCTGTCTTCATAATTCTATTAATCAGTTTGTATTCATCAAAAATACATATGGTTATCATTCTTACGTTGTTTGATCCTCACAGTATCAGTAATAAAAGTTTCATTTCTATTCTTCGAAATGATGCATGCGCGTCATAGAATCATTTACAGCCCTCATCATACACATCGAATTATTTTTGATCGATTGAGTCGCTTTCATATATCATGCATCTTCACGGCTGTTCTTTTTTTCTGTTGTGAGTCATCGTGTGATGATCTCTCGATTCGTAAGATGAGAATGAGAGGAAGTTCAGAATGGTCGAAATTGTGCAGATTCCGTCTGTAACCCTCACTCGATGATTAGCTGCACTGTATTATGAATGAACGATGAATGGAGGATTATAATGTGTTAAAATACGTTCATATCGAAAACATTTTTAAAGCTTGTATTCATTCAACGATAACCACATAAACACAACAGACAACAATATATGATAAGGAAGATTTATTATTACATGAAGATATTTAAGAGGTTGGTTTTTTTGGACTTCCGTAATTCCTAAGGCTCCAATTCGGAAAAAAATAGACCTTTTGTTTTAGAAACAACTTACGCGAGATTTTGTCTCCAAAAAATTGGTTCGAAAGGTAGCTGAATCAACTTATTTTTCGCTCAAAACGTCATAGTGTGTGACGTTTGGGTTCCAACATTTCCAACTTCTTATCCCCTTCCAACAAATCCGTGTGAAGGTTGGCTTCGAAAAAGTTATTCTGAAAGATCGCTGGGTCAAATTATTTTCGTCCAGTACGCCTGCGTGGTACACAATGTAGAGATAATCACATGTGCTGCACATTCATTCAGTGTTCACAACGAAAAAACAAATAAACGCATCGTGTTCATACATACCAACTGATTCACATATTTACTTCAATAATAACTTACCTATTAAGAGTCAAAGACCGTCTTTGAGTAATATTTTTTCATATTTACAGCAATTTTCATGTCTAAACGCTTACACCACAAAGCAGTGAGAAGATGTGTGCAAACAGCAACAACCCAGAAACAGAATATAAATGCAATAAGAATAAGGCAACGTGAAAATAAGTGTCCGATCAATGTTTGATGATTGATTGGTGATCCGTAACGGTTGTTGTTATTTGTGAATGAGTAGAAGAAGAAGGCGACGGTAAGAAACTTAATGTAACTGGAATAAACAATAAACCGTGTAATAGACCGATTACCATCGTTAACCAAATTGTTTTGAAAAAAGTTTGAATAATATATGCGTCAACAGTGTATAGTATCGAAATACCGACAATTGTCGACGTGGCACCCTGAAAGTGATATTCAAACTCTTGGAGGTGTTTGTTATTCATTTGCATTGATTCGTTGGGCACTAGTTCGGATAGTAAAGGAACGGCAATTGAATATTGTTTGAACTGGAAAGAATCTTACCTGGAATATAGGCCATCCTAATGTGCCTAGAGCTTGCACAACACGTTGTTTGGAGTGACCAGACGACGCAACAAACGCGTATGTGATGTGCGCCGAAAGATCGACCGCGAACCCAATGCTCATTATAATTGAAATCATTGAAACCGCGTCCAAATTCACGCTCCAAAATGTCATATAACCAAAAACACCGGTACAAATTGATATTATTGATAACAGTATTAGCAATGCTGAAAAAAAAACACCAATACATTATGCTGAAAAGAATCATCCATTTGGGAATCAGCGACTTTGTTTTTCAGTGGCTATCGATCGAAATTCGAGAGCCACTGATTTCTGGTGGATACCGAACAAGATCTTTCTGGTTGGTCACTGAAACCCAAGTTTGTGAAGTCACCAATCAATCAACCTCTTCCGATTTCGGTCGGCAGCTACCACACACAACCCTAATCACCACCAGAAATGATAGCATTTTTGAAGCACTTTGCGCGTCAATACGTGCGATTGATTCCATTCAAACATTAATCTAACAATATACATGCTTTGCCATCTAGTGCTGCTTGAAGATCACCTTTGCAGTGATCACTTATGTAGCTATCAACCAAATCGTTTGACGTTGATAAAATCTTATAAATTAATGAGCAAAGCTGCCAGGACGGTAATCACTCCGAATCGATGAGAATCAGCTGAATGAAAAAATCCCAACGGTATACTGGTCACTGGTATAACACTAAAGTGATAAACCTAATTGATATCATAACTCAGTGATGAACGAGAAACCGATTATACTTAGAAGCAGTGCAACTAAGACCATAAAGGTTGTGCTAAACTTACCCAAATACTTGTAAGTTGTTCGGCTTTAGCACTATCACAATGTAGTTCAATGCTATGATTACGAAAGAGAAGATGAATGAAAGCCAAAACTTACATGACAAAACACTGGGAATAAGCAGTAACGCAACAAAACTCATACAAAGTAACGATATCACAATATTACGAATTGTAGCTGGCATTATGATCAAGTACTGATCGGCGAACGGAAACGTTTCATGATAAATTTCAACTTTAAGTGGTTGACGATCCGCAATATCACGTAACAATTTGGCTGCCATTTTGTGATCATTCGGTTCGATCATGTTCTTCAACGCTATCTGCAAACAAATTCTTTTGACAGGCCGAAAATCATGTTAGATACCACTAATAGGCGGGATCAACGAGTTAATCTCATTGCAAACATAGACTTAGTGCACAATTCACCGTGCAACTTATTGTAACTGCTTCAGAACTGAACGAGAAATGATAAAAAAGTTATACTTGAAAACGGAATGACTCTATGGAATGATCAGTCTGATTGAATTTAATATCCGCTGTCCATTGATTGCTACCACCCGTATACTTCAGCCACGTTCTCAGCTTGCTGTTCCAGAGTCTGTTAATTGGCATTTTA